ATTATATCATGCGTCGGTCACGTGACACATGTTTTATGGTCCATTTAGGTCAGAGATTTCGAATTTGATGTCGTTTGTGTCATTCGAGGTCATTTTTAATCGAATTTAGCTTATGTTAGGTCACTTTCAGGTCAAAAAAGGTCAAATTTTGAAGTTAAAATTTTTCAACAAAAAAGGTGTCTATTGGATGCAGTTTGAGCTCAGGAACACGATGGTGCTATTTATACGATGTCAAATACGTGCTGACATATTGATTTGAAAAATTAATAATTGTGAATTTTTTTGCAATAATGCGTAAAACTTTTTGAAGATATTTAGCTAAAACTTGCTAGAGTTAGTCATAATAATGCGTTCTATCACATATATTCCGGTTTTTTCGAAAAGTCAAAAAAAAAATTGAAAAAAGTAAAAATATAAATTTTGGATATTATTATATTAAATTTTTCAAAAATTTCAAAATTTCGAAAATCCGACATAGCAGTTTGATAGCGCAGTTTATTTTGAGTCCTCTCATGCAAAGAAATTGGATCTAGCTTAAAAACTGAGCTCTTGGGAGCGATTGCCGTGGTTCAATGTTTTGCGTCGAAATCGGCCGAACATGACGTCACTCTGACGTCATTTCCGGCTGACCTATAGTAGGTACGAAGTTCATATTTTGACACAAGGTGTCAAATTGATGCAGCCTAAGTTACTGAAAGTTTGGCGTCGATACGTCAAGCGGTTTGGAAGTTATTGCAGAAAAACGGGAGGGGGGCTATAAATAGCCCCCAGTGGGGCGCGGGTTAAGGCCCTACATCGGTGGCTCTGGGGGCCCCACACCGGCGCCTCAATGGGCCACACACCTATGCATCTCAAGGCTCTATAGGTGCATCAGAAGGACCCACACCGACACCTCTGAGGGCCCCACACCAGTATCTCTGAGCTCTGAAGGCCCCACACCGGTGACTCTGAGGACTCACCGGCGCCTTTTGTCGTAGTTTTTTACGCTCTTTCAGAACGCCGCCTACCGCGTGTCTCAACGTGGGCCACAAGCTGAGTTAAAAGTGGGTGTTCAAACACCCCCAGCAGGTCCAATTAAAAAACGCGTACGCTGGGGGCGGCACCGCACTGCTAGGGGGGGGGGGGGCGGTATCGCAATAATGGGCTACACTGCGCTGAGGGACACCACTTGCAATTTGTATTGAGGGGTGGCATTGTATAGTCGGTCAAATATGTATCTTTCCCGGCCGCCAAGTGGCGCTACGGTCTGGATTCGATAGTTGGCTGAGCCCACACCCCAGCTGCCCTGGCGGCTCTGGCGGCCCTGTGACGTCACGCGCGGGGGGCGGAGCTACACAGCGGCCGGCTGGAGAGTGACCGCAGACCAGCACTGGACGGCCTCGCCGCCGGGCGCTCCGGCGGGTCTGGCCGGGAGAGGCGAGCAAGCGGATGCGTTAGGAATCTAACGAATGTGAGGGCAGCGCGATGGTCTAATGATGGCTGTGCTTTCATGCGCCGTGTAAATTGTAGACTGAGTGCTATGAGCTATCAAAGGATTATCTGGTGTTTCAACAGGGGTCGCTGACCTAAAAATTAAGATGGTTGCTCTTGATACGATCGAATGCTTGGTGATATGATGCTTAGCGCAAGAGAAATATTTAATCGAATTATGACCGGTTATTTTTTGATAAAGCAAAAACTTTTTTCATTTTTTTTTTTTTGGCATTAACGGGAAAGCGTTAAGCCATATCTACTGAAAATCTTAACCTGCGCCGGGCCGGGGGGGGGGGCGATTTGCGCCCCCCCAGGTTTTTCGCAGATAGCCGAAAAACGGCGGCGTGCAGCGCCACCAAATTTTGCATACCTGTTTTTCCATCTATTGCGCATACTGTGTGCGAATTTTGACCTTACATGACTTAAGGTCAGGTCAACAGGTCGGTTTGAGTGACCTAACGTCACAAAAAGTTTGAACTTGCACCAAAGCTACAACTGTTGATATGCAGATGCAGTGATACGGCATCTCAAACCTAGAGCGACTACACTCAAGTTCAAGCTAACGGTCTCCACTCTCCAATTCAGATACCTATCGAAACCTTTCCGCGACCCGGTGCTGTGGCTCAATCAGTGGGCCAGCTGGCCGCAGACCATACCCGCAGGGCATGAACCTTTGACCATATTAGGTCAACACGCCGTGGCCCCAGCCCGCTCGCCAGGTCCGCGCTCATTGGCCGACGCGGCAACCGCACAACCTGTCCCCTCCCCTCCGTAGTACTCGCAGCGGCCGGCGGATTCAGCCAAGTTACCGACCTGCCCAGCGTGGGGAGGGCCGGCCGGGAAAGATACATATTTGACCGACTATACGGTGAAGAGGCGGCGTCGCATTTGAAGCGGTGGCATCGCAACGAGGGGTGGCACTAACGAAGCTGCCTTATAAGAAACGCTTGGCACATCCTAGCCCAACTCGGCGCCGCCTGACTGCTGCATCTTGAAAAGGGCCCTTGGTGTCGATGAGAAAGCCCCATTGTAAAATAATTATCTAGCGTTAGTGGTTTCAGAGGGGCGCCATCGATCTAGGATGGGGCGGGGCGACTGAAGTCTCCGTTCAGATGGGCGTCAGTGACTACTGGAGGGCGTCAACGACCTCGGATAGGGCGAATGTGATCTTCAGAAGAGCACCGGGTGCTCTAGAGGGGTGCAATGCTTGGATGGGGTCACTGCTGGCTTCAGTAGGGCGTCGGACGCTCTGGAGGGGCGCCATTGATCTCGGATGGTCCGACTGTTATTTTCAGAGGGGCACCAGTGGTTTCAGAGCGGGCTCCATTGATCTAGGATGGGCCGACTGAAGCCTTAATTCAGGTGGGCGCCAGTGGCTCTTGAGGGGCGCCAGCGACCTCGGATTGATGGGGCGACTGTGATCTTTAGAAGGGCGTTGAGGGGCGGCATTGGGCATGGATGGGGTCACTGTTGTCTTCAGCAGGACGCCGGACGATCTGGAGGGGCGCATTGAGCCTGGGTGGGGCGACTGTACACGACTGTATGTAGTTTCAAGGGGCGTTGTCTCGGATGGGGCGAATGTGATTTTCAGAGGGGTGCCGGGTACTTTAGAAGGGCGCTATTGGTTTCAGAGGGTTGCCATCGATCTTAAGATGGGGCAGCTTAAATTTCCGTTTAGGTGGGCGCCAGTGACTTTTGAGGGGCGCCAGTGACTTTAAAGGGGCGCCAGTGACCTCGGATGAGGACGACTGTGATCTTCAGAAGCGCGCCGGACGCTCTGGAGGGGGCGCCATTGGGCTTGAATGGGGCGGCTTTAGTCTCAAGCGGGACGACTTCAGTCCCAAGGGGGGGCTAGTGGCTCTTGAGGGCGCTATTGATCTCTGATAGGGCGACTGTGATCTTGAGAAGAATGCGGGTGCTATAGAGGGGCGCCAGTGGTTTCAGGGGGCGCCATTAATCTTGGATGAGGCTGATTGGGGCAGCTGTGAGCTTCAGAGGGGCGCCGGGTGCTCTAGAGGGGCGCCATCAAGCTTTAATGGGCCACTGTTCGGAATATTCCGGTTTTCTGAGGGGCGCCCTTTAACAGTGGGGGGCTCAGGCCCTATTTGGGGTACCCTGGAGAGCATTGGGGTGTCCAGGCGGCAGGTACCCCCAAAGAGATATTGAGTTCGATCCCTGCCTGTACCTCACTTTTTAATTCATGTTCCCTCTGTAAAACGGCATCAGCCTAGTCGGCACTAATTGGGGCGCCATCTGGGCGGCTGGGTGGAAGGGGGGGGGGGGCATGGCCCCCTGTGTACGCCACTGATCATGTCTCAACCACCTTGAAGTGCCCGTTTTACGCGTCATTGTCTGTATGTCTATAGTAGTGATGTCAATTACAGAAAGTCAGGATACCGATACCAAACCAAGTACCAACCAAAACCATGGAAAATACCGAAACCGAACCAAGTTGGGAATACCAGGAAATTACCATTTTTTTACCAAATTTACAGCCTCTTACACATTACTGAGCATTCACAATACCAACAAAATACCAAAAGCATTAGGATTGAAATACCAAATACCAAGTTGGTATCGGTTTGGTATCGGTATACCAAAAAGTTGGTATCCGATTGATATCTCTAACCTATAGTCTGTATATGCATGCATGCAATGTGCTGGTCCCTGCTACATCCCTTGTCAATTGACTTGCAATGGTGATAAGCCACCGTGCTGTGGACTTATTGCTAATAAATGAAGCTGATGTATCGTGTCAGACATTGTGATATTTATTCACTTTCGATGATAACACAAAAGCAAATATTCTAAATAGCCAGACGTTTCGGCCTCAGGGTGCCTTCGTCAGTGACAATACCGAGATACTAATACATTAATAAATTAATCAATATAATCTTTTACACTTTCAAAATACACATGACCTGGACATTTTTCAACCATTCTGCACATGAGACTCGAGATTATAAAAACTAAATATACATTTTTGACACGTTCAACTTTTAAAGCATGACCTTTCGATAAGATGATAATTGATATGCTACACTTCTTTTTCTCTTATACAATAACAATAACAGTTATGCCCGACATTGTGCTGTGTATGTTTGTATAAGAGAAAAAGAAGTGTAGCATATCAATTATCATCTTATCGAAAGGTCATGCTTTAAAAGTTGAACGTGTCAAAAATGTATATTTAGTTTTTATAATCTCGAGTCTCATGTGCAGAATGGTTGAAAAATGTCCAGGTCATGTGTATTTTGAAAGTGTAAAAGATTATATTGATTAATTTATTAATGTATTAGTATCTCGGTATTGTCACTGACGAAGGCACCCTGAGGCCGAAACGTCTGGCTATTTAGAATATTTGCTTTTGTGTTATCATTGAAAGTGAATAAATATCAAAATGAAGCTGAATCTGAGTCTAAATCATTTTCCTGCCACCCGTTGTCGAGGCGACGCGGCTGACGGAACCTCCGGGCTGCAGACTCGGGCCGCTCTGACACGCAGAGAAGGCCAAACCAGTCACCTACCGACACAGATCCTGGGATTTTGTCCCTGTTTGTAGCCTTCCGAGCAGCGGCACATGTACGAGCCGGGGATGTTGACGCACCGGCTGCTGCCGCCGCACACCTGCCAATGACGTCAAACCAGGCATCGATCAGACCAAGGCCCTAAAACATAGTTTGGGCGAAGTTTTCTACCAAAAAATTACTAGAATAGCGCATGAGTCCAAGCTATTTCTGTTGTTTCCTCACAAATATGTCGCAAAAAACTATTCTGTAATACCCGAAGGTTGTTTCTTCATTAGACAAACACTATTCTTTAGAATTGTGTTTTTCTATTGAAAAACAAACTGAGGGTGTTTCCATTTCGGGATAGGATTCGTGTTTGGTGCAGCGAATTGGGGCACCTTGCACCGTTTGCACACGAACCGATAGATTTTGATTAAATTTTCAGGGCAGCTGCCCCCACAGATTATCTATCACGAAACCCCCTCAGCTAAGAATATAATTATTTTTCTTGCACGTGGCACGTGCACGTGTTTTAGGCCCATAGGCTTCAACATTAGGTGGATTTTCGGCATCGCATTTCTCGCAGACGGGTGCTTGTAATGCGATGGGCTTCTATGTGCTGGGTGGCCGCCCCGGCATCTACCATGAGCCGGCGGCGCTGTTTCGGGCAGCTTCGGGAAGGGGGTGCAAATTGCACGTGCAGCCGCCATTGGTTTAACGTTACGAAATGGGCCAAAACGGGTTTTTCGATTTGCTCAAAATCGGCGCGATAGATTTTCTTTGTTTTTTGAGTACCGGTAGTCGGTCAGTAGGTTCGTTCGTCAATGTCAATCGCTTGTAATATAATTAACTTCTTTGCACGTGGCACGCGCACAAATTTTCAAGTCTTAAGTCAATGGGATTTCTTGAAAAAATTACTTAAATCGATTTTGTTCAAAATTTCCACGCTAGATGTTAAAAATGTTTCAGTATGATATGCACCCACATGTCGCCTACCAGGTGGCATAGGCCATATATGGGGCGATTGAAATGCACGTGCACGCCCCGCACTTGTTTGAGGGGACCACCTCCGTGAAAATTTGACCACTGCTGGTATGATGGCCTGTGCCGCGCAAACAATGAGTGCCAGCGGAACCAATCGAGGTCAGTCGTCAAGGGGATGCTCTAGGATAGTTTTACACCTCATCACGTGGTGCACGTGTTTTCGCACGTGCGCCACGTGGGTGTAGCATTTTGGGATAGGTAGCCATTGGTGCATAATTATGCTCAGGTGATAACCTCACTGCATGGGTTTGAGCCAGAGTTCCAAGTCGGTTGCGATAATGACCATTGGTGTTGGGTCTACTGCGTGTCAAACACGTGGCCGCCCGGGGTTCTCCATTCCGGAGATATTGTGACCGATAGTGAGGTAAGCCCTAATTTAAAGATTGGCCAAGTTTGATCGGCCGCTGGGAGACAATGGTGGCGCACCCGAAAGTCTACCCATGGGCACTGACGACCCCTTTCATCTGGTACAAAAGGATGGTCGCTTTATGTCTTTAGGCCACACGTGGCACGTGGCACCCCACCTCGAGTGACCATGTGCACTCTCAATGTAAGGCGTTTTGGCCATAACTTTGCCATTTATGGGCCGATTTCGACGAAAATTGCAACATTGATGCATTAAAATGACCTGTGCCACAAACGGCGCTACGATTACAACAAACTCATGTGCGTCGTTTTTGTCTCTAGTACGCCACTTGCTACAGTGGCTAAGGTCGAGGAATATTACGCGTATTTATTTCAACGGGCCGATTTCGTCGAAACTTGCAACGGTATTGCACGAAACTAGGCAGCGACACATATGAAGCGAGACAAAAATAGGCTGTTGTGCGCAATTTTTGTCTTAAGTGCGCCATTAACTGCCTAAAGTGGCTAAAACTTTAGAATCTCATCATTTTCATGCATTAATAAATTACTGTGAGGTATGCATGTAACGTCTCGCGCCACTTTGGTCTTAATTGCGTTAGCGTTTCGGGCGTGTGATTTGCGCGTTTTGCGGTGTTTGCGTTTTGCGGCGGGCGGGTGTTTTGTGTTTTTTTTGCAGTGTTTGTTTGACGGCGGGCGGACGGGCGATGCGGGCGTTTTTTGCGTCTTTTTCGGTGTTAAGTTTTTTCGGTTTCCGGCGGCCTGGCGCTTTTTGCGGTGTTTGCGTTTGGCAGCGGGCGGGCGATTTTTTAGGCGTTTTCGGTTGGTGTTTAGCGTGCGTGCGATGCGGGCGGTTTATTTTTTTGCGGCGTTTTTTGCGTTTTTTGCGGCTTGTGGTGGTCGTGCGATTTTTTCGACGTTTGCTTTGGCGTTTCGGACGTGCGTTTTGCGCGTTTTGTGGTGTTTGCGCTTTGCGGCGGGCGGGCGGGCGTTTTGTGTTTGGCGGCGGGCGTGCGGGCGATGCGGGCGGTTTTCTTTTTTTGCGTCGTTTGCAGTGTTCAATTTGTTGGCGGTTGGCGGCGGTTGGGCGCTTTTAAGGCGTTTTCGGTTGGCGGTTAGCGTGCGTGCGATGCGGGCGGTTTTATTTTTTGCGGCGTTTTTGCGTTTTTTTTTGCGGTTTGCGGCGGGCGGGCATTTATTTGTGTTTTTTTCTTCTTGCGACATTTGCGTTGGCGTTTCCGGCGTGCGTTTTGCGGTGTTTGCGTTTTGCGGCGGGCGGGCGTTTTTTTACAATTCAAAGTCCCAACCTTCGGGCCGCAGCGCTGCTCGAAAAGCGCTGCCCTCGATAACTTAGTGTTTCAAAGTTAGGCAACCAATTGCTATAAATTCAATAAGCAAACGTACGTACATTTTTTATATAAAAGCCTAGCTTATTAAGTCCAACTCTAAAACTCCAACTCCAACTGTAGTTGAAAAATCAAGTAGCTACTAAATTTTCCAGATGTGACACATACTCGAAGGTTGTTTCTTCATTAGACAAACACTATTCTTTAGAATTGTGTTTTTCTATTGAAAAACAAACTGAGGGTGTTTCCATTTCGGGATAGGATTCGTGTTTGGTGCAGCGAATTGGGGCACCTTGCACCGTTTGCACACGAACCGATAGATTTTGATTAAATTTTCAGGGCAGCTGCCCCCGCAGATTATCTACCACGAAACATCCTCAGCTAAGAATATAATTATTTTTCTTGCACGTGGCACGTGCACGTGTTTTAGGCCCATAGGCTTCAACATTAGGTGGATTTTCGGCATCGCATTTCTCGCAGACGGGTGCTTGTAATGCGATGGGCTTCTATGGGCTGGGTGGCCGCCCCGGCATCTACCATGAGCCGGCGGCGCCGTTTCGGGCAGCTCGGGAAGGGGGTGCAAATTGCACGTGCAGCCGCCATTGGTTTAACGTTACGAAATGGGCCAAAACGGTTTTTCTCGATTTGCTTAAAATCGGCTCGATAGATTTTCTTTGTTTTTGGAGTGCCGGTAGTCGGGCATGGGGTGCGTTCGCCAATGTTGATCGCTTGAAATATAATTAACTTTTTTGCACGTGGCACGCGCCCAAATTTTCACGTGTTAAGTCAATGGGATTTCTTGAAAAATTACTAAAATCGATTTTGCTCAAAATTCCCACGTTAGATTTTGAAAATGTTACAGTATGATATGCATCCACATGTCGCCTACCACGTGGCATAGGCCACATATGGGGCGATTGAAATGCACGTGCACGCCCCGCACTTGTTTGAGTGGACCACCCCCGTGAAAAAAATTGACCACTGCTGGTATGATGGCCTGTGCCGCGCAAACAATGCGTGTCAGCGGCACCAATCGAGGGCAGACGTCAAGGGGATGCTCCAGGCTAGTTGCACACCTCATCACGTGGTGCACGTGTTTTCGCACGTGCGCCACGTGGGTGTAGCATTTTGGGGTAGGTAGCCATTGGTGCATAATTACGCTCAGGTGATAACCTCAATGCATGGGTTTGAGCCAGAGTTCCAAGTCGGTTGCGACAATGACCAATGGTGTTGGGTCTACCTCGTGTCAAACACGTGGCCGCCCGGGGTTCTCCATTCCGGAGATATTGTGACCGATAGTGAGGTAAGCCCTAATTCAAAGATTGGCCAAGTTTGATCGGCCGCTGGGAGGCAATGGTGGCGCACCCGAAAGTCTACCCATGGGCACTGACGACCCCTTTCATATGGTACAAAAGGGTGGTCGCTATAAGTCTTTAGGCCACACGTGGCACGTGGCACCCCACCTCGAGTGACCACGTGCACTCTCAATGTAAGTCGTTTTGGCCATAACTTTGCTATTTATGGGCCGATTTCGACGAAACTTGCAACATTGATGCATTAAAATGACCTGCGCCGAATACGGCGCTACGAATACAACAAACTCATGTGCGTCCTTTTTGTCTCTAATGCGCCACTTTAGCTACAGTGGCTAAAGTTGAGGAATATTACGCGTATATATTTCGACGGGCCGACTTCGTCGAAACTTGTAACGGTGGTGCACAAAACTAGGCTGCGCCACATACGAGGCGAGGCACAAAATATGCTGTTGTGCGCCATTTTTGTCTCTACTGCGCCATTAAGTGCCTAAAGAGGCTAGAATTAAGGAATCTTTAATCAGTTTCATGTATTAATAAATCACTGTGAGGTACGCTACGCACTACGCATATACATACATGTAACCCCTCGCGTCACTTTGGTCTTAATTGCATTGGTGTTTCGGGCGTGCGTTTTGCGCTTTTTGCGGTGTTCGCGTTTTGCGGCGGGCGGGCGTTTTTTTGCGCTGTTTGTGCTTAGCGGCGGGCGGGCGCCTTTTGTTGCGGTTTTTGCGCCCTTTTCGATGTTAAGTTTGTTTTCTGTTTGCGGCGGCCGGGCGTTTTTTTGCGGTGTTTGCGTTTGGTAGCGGCCGGGTGATTTTTAGGCGTTTTCGGTTGGTGGTTAGCGTGCGTGCGATGCGGGCGTTTATTTTTTGCGGCGTTTTTGCGTTTTTTGCGGTTTGCGGTGGTTGGGCGATTTTTCGACGTTTGCGTTGGCGTTTCGGGCGTGCGTTTTGCGCGTTTTGCGGTGTTTGCGTTTTGCGGCGGGCGGGCGTTTTGTGCTTTTTGCAGTGTTTGTATTTGGCGGCGGGCGGGCGGGCGATGCGGTCGGT